TTTTTTTTTTTTTTTCTGGTACCGGGGATCGAACTCAGGTCCTTGCACTTGTTCAAACTCCTATCTTTAGGAGAATGGCTCTAGCAGCCTGTGGAAGTTCTTTATCCACATTCCCATCCTGACTGATCTTTGGGAGCTGCAGTTAGAGCCACAGCCCGAAATTCATTTGCATAAGGTCACCTGTAAACTCCCTCAGCCCCAAAGCAAGCTTTTTGCCCACTTTCACATACACCCTCCAGCTGAACATTGCTCTTTTACCAACTAAAGTTGCCCTTGATGTTCTTTTTCTTCTGATTTTACTAGAATGGTGACCCCCGGGATAGGAGCATGGTGAATTTTGCCCGACACGCCGGACCCCTGCTAGGAAAGGCGCACAAGTCATGTAGGGTTTAAATAAAGAAAAAATTCTGTGTACTTGCTGCATACAAGGTTCTGTGTTGCTACCAGGTCCCTCTGCCAATATCTTCCTCTCCACCCCCACTGAAGTTCCCTGGACTACAAGTGAGAAGATTAAAAACCAGATTAAGTGATTTGCCCAAGATCATATAGCATGAGTGACATGACCAGAGCCCAAAATGAGATTTTCAGACTCCAAAGCCTGTGCTCTTTCCCTGCAAGCAACATGACATGGTGGAAAGCAGATGAGCTCTGGACCCAGACAAATGTGAACTAGGATCTTAAGTTAACTCTGGTCCCAGCACTTGTTAACAGCATGGCTTCAATTATCCTTTGGAGGGCCTAACACCTATGTCATAGTGTGGTTGGAAATAAGGCATGAGTTAACACCTGCCAAATATCTAGCACAATAACAGGCTTAAAGAAGGTATAAGCAGATGTTACTTCCATACTTCCTCACTTTCTCCATTTGCAGGATAAAAATAAATTTAAGATGCATGCTATGGAAATTTAGCATAGGTATACAACTCACTGAAGTTCACCAGCTATACACATCTGTGCACCAGAAACCAGATGATGAAATAGAATGCCGACACCTACCCTTTGATGGTGCCTTCTGCCCTTCCTAGCCACTATATCCCTTTAAGAATAACCTCTACTGATTCCTAACGTTGTAGGTTGATGTTACCTGCTTCTGAATGTTATATAAGTAGATCCATATAGTATATTCCCTCTTGTATCTGGTTCTTTTACTTGCCATTGTATTAATGAGATCTACATCACTGTATTAGAATGGTTCACTCATTCTCATTTCTTGATAGTATCCCAGTATGTGAATATACTCAATTTATTTATCCATTTTACGGTGCATGAGCATTTGCATTGTTTCTCAAACTTTTACTAAAATGCTTCTCTGAATGTTCTTGTGGATATGTATTGATAAATATGTGTATGCTTTTTCTATAAAAGCAAGAGTAAAATTGCTGGTTTTTGAGATATGTATATGTTCTGCATTAGTAGACATTGCAAGCCATTTTCCAAAATACTGGTTACAATTTATATTTCTGCCTAGTGTTTGAGAGTTTTGATTTTTCTACATTTCACCAGTATTTGGTGGTATCTATCTTCTCTATTTTAGCTATTCTGATGAAAATATAATGATATTTTACTGTGGTTTAATTTATAAACCTCGAGTTGCCAAAAAAATTGAACTCCTTTTCATATGTCTACTGATCACTTGGAGGTCTTTTTTTTTTTTTTTTTTCTGGTACCAAGGATCGAACTCAGGTCCTTGTGCTTGTGCAGCAGGTGGCGAAACCACTGAGCTAAATCCCCGGCCCCTGGAGGTCTTCTTTTAAGAAAGTCCAATTCAAGTCTTTTAGTACAATTTTCTATTGAGTTATCTGCTTTTTTGAATTAATTTGTAATATTATTTACATATTCTTGATGTGAGGCCTTTGATATATGTTTTGCAAATATCTTCTCCCATTCTGTGGCTTGCTTTACTTTTTTCAGTAGTCCTATGATTGATTAAAGTTATTCATTTTAATTTATTTTTAATCCATTTTAATCCATTTTTCTCTCATAGCTCTTTTGTGTCCTGTTGAAGAAAGCTTTAGCTACTTTGGGCCATGTGGCTATCTTCCCATTTTTCCACAAAAGATCTTATCATAATGCATTTCTCATTTATAACTACAATTTATCTGATTGGTGTGAGGTAGGGGTTAATGTTCTCTTTTTTTCAAGTAAAGGCATTCCACTGACCCAACACTTGTCATTGAAAAAGTCACCTTTTCCACTACAAGGCTGTAGAGTCACCTTCATCATAAATGAGGTAACTATAGGTGTGCGGGTCTATGTACTATGTTTGATTGATCTATTTGTGTATCATTTCACATATGGGACACTGTCTTAATTACTATAGTTTTATATAAGTCTTAAAGATACTTTTTAAAAACTAATGCTAATATCTCACAAGTCTAGGAACTAAAGAAATGTTTGATCCCCTCTGCATTAGTCAACTTTTCATCACAAATACAACACACCTGACACAAGCTACTTACAAAGAAAAGTCTACTTAACTCAAAGTTCTGGAGCTTCAAAGTCTAAACAGCATAACACAGACCTGTGGCCAGGACACCCTTGGCTGTGTCACCTCATGGCAAGACAGCAATGGTGGAAGTGTGTGTCAGAGCAAGCAGCCTGGAAACAAAGATATCTGGGCAGGGTTGGGCTTACTCATCGTATAACAACTTCTCTCGACAACTCAAGGGGTCACTCAAGAACTGCTTTCCAAAAGCACATCCCAATGACTTGGAGAACCACAAACAGCCCTTTTTGGTGCTTGTGCTGTAGTTCACCACCACTGACCTAAGTCAACCCACTCCCACCCCTTAAGGGTTTCACCACCTCCAAATCAGCATCTTGGGAATCAGGGTTTTAATCATATGAACCTTTGAAAGGGACACAAGTAAAGCATACTCATTCCATAATAACTTCCTTGACCTGAGGTAGATTACACCAGTACCAAATCATCTGTCCATCTAATTGGGTGGGAAGAAGAGGAGAAGGGAGAGAGTAGAAAAATGTATCATGAAAGTTTGACTTTCAGACCAAGTGAGATTAGGGTAGATTGTCACATGCTCTTCGTGGCAGGAAGAATCCAAAGATGTAAGTGGTGGAAGGAGCTTGGGCTTAAGAGTTAGAACTCCCAAAGTTTAAATTCAATCACATGTTATCTGTGTGCAATAGTTGGTTCCTTTCTCTGGGCCTCTTTTCCTTCTGTAAAAAGAGGGGCTAGAACTATATGTCATCCAAAGTCCCTTCTAACTCTGCATATATAACTGTGACTCCAAGCCAATGAAAGGAGCAATTGCTTTAGAAAAGGACCCTCTAGCACTAGAAAGGCATTTCTTGTTAGCAGTAATATACTTCCTTATTGCTATTCATCCCTGGTGCAAGAAGTTATGTACCTGGTGGGCTGGATGCCTCCCTCATATTCAGGAGGGAGACGTTAATGCCTTTTTCTGAGCTGGGATTTGCTGTAGAATTGGAGATGTGTGGTTTTAGTGTTAGACAAATAGGGGCTCAAATCCTGGTTCTATGACTAACTTGCTATATGGCTTCACAAAAATCAATTTACCTCTTTCAACCTAAGTTGTTTACTGCATAAAAGAAGTATAAGAATATTTACCTTACTCCTGTACCTTTGTCTCCCTAGAATGTCTCCGTAAGGACAACTTAGTATTTATAAACTGCATGGTGTTGCTACACTGACAAAACTCATTGTCAGGTGTTTCATCACCTCTCACCTGTTAGTTGCTTTGCTGGATTTTTTAAAAATTCTTTTATTTGTACATTTTAGGTATACGTTACATTTACATTTATCATTGGGTGCTTCTACTTGCACGTGATGTATCTTGGTTCTTATTTTTTTCCCCATTACCTGTGCTCCCTTCACCCCCTCCACCCTTCACTATTTACAAAGATTTCATTTCCATTTTTTTTTCTTTTCTCATAATTTTTCCTTTCCATTCTTTCCTTTCCTCTCCCCCTCCCACCACCCCTACACCTTTGGGCCTTTTAATATTTCAAATTTTCAATTATTCATTTTAATCATTTTAACCCTTGTTTACACTATCACTTTCTCACACTAAAGAAACTATTCGGTATTTACACATGTGTGTCCTATTTATTTCACTCAAGAATATGGCCTCAATATGCATCCATTTAGCTATAAATGTTTCTAGTTTCGCATTCTTTATGGCTGAGTAGTACTCCATTTTATAAAAAAAAAAAAAA